TCACCTATTGCAAATACAATACGGATGTTACATTTGTACTATACTCAGATGACTTATCTATGCCCCTGTGCAAGCCTGTATACAGTAAGACATTACCTTAAGTGTACTCATGAACTTCGACTTTTTGGGAATGTTAAGAGGTTCACCTGCATGACAATGTTCTGTTGGGCGTCTTTGTACTTAAGTAGTACCACTGTGACGCATCGACCAATCACCGACGAGCATAAGACATATTCGTAGAAATAGAACTCGGCGTGGGAGATTCAAATGCTATATAACTTAAGCGAACTATTATGTTTTGGAACCGCTTGCAAACAAATATATACAATTATTTGTAAATTATTTAATCTCATATTTCTATTTAAAATTATAATACGACCGCAAATGTATAAAAGGGACGCTTGAAACTGTTTAAAGCGTGTATGAAAGGGCGGCAGTCGTCTTGCCGCGCCCTGTTCGATGTGGGACTCGTAGCGACGTATACAACGCGTGTAAAATACATTGTTTATTTACATGAAATTCGAACACGCGCTGCGCGACGACCACCACGCTTGAATATTCAAATAATATACATTTACATCTATATAAAATGAATATTTTTCGTTCGTTCAAGCTACGAGCGTGCAATATTTTATACATTATTTGTGTAGTATGTTGATATTCCATTGCACAGACTGTTCATTTCCGTCAATTTCAGTTCTATATGGCGTTGGACTAGATCTTCAACTTTACAGCAGGAACGCAATTCATGGCACATGGTCTGGTCCAGCACCGAACAGCTGTTGCGTGATCGCGATAACCGTTCTACAGGATGGCACTATCCTAGGCGTGGGTTTAAACCTGCTGTTGTACACCAAGTCTGCTCTTGATGCAAATTGGCTAGGTCCTATAGCGAACAGTGGTTTTGTATTGGACGTCACACAGATGCATGATGGGACAATTGTTGGTGTCGGTCTCAACTTCCTTTTATATACTCGCTCTGCTGTCGAAGGTACGTGGGCAGGGCCAGTTCCGTGGAGTGGACTCGTGAAATCCGTATCGGTGCTACCAGATGGAAGTTTATTGGGTGTTGGATTGGGTGGGCAATTGTGGTCAAGGGCAGGTTTAACCGGAACCTGGGCACTTGTGAATTTGAATGGTTTTGTTGGTGATATATCAGTCAGCAAGACTGGTGCGGTCGTAGGTATCGGAATCACTTGTGGTTTGTGGGAAAGACCTGCCTATACGTCGTATTGGCAAGGAGAAATTTCAGACAGCCGATGTGTTATTTCTGTATCGTTTGGAGAGAAAGGTGAGTGTTGTATGCATTGATTTTATTTATAAGATCTATCATTTAAAGGGCGGCAGTCGTCGTGCCGCGTCCTGTTCGATATGGGACTCATAGCGACGTATACAACGCGTGTAAAATACATTGTTTATTTACATGAAATTCGAACACGCGCTGCGCGACGACCACTGCGCTTTAACGTATTTGTGTTTTCCTAGTCATTTTATAGTATGTTCGATGCGAATGTTTGCAGCAGACGATGTGAGGCCTGTACAAATATGCATTTATAATTAATTATTCATATACACAACAAATAGCAAATTTTCTTGTTTCGAAATGTAAATCGACCTTTGCGTTTTCATTTATACGATGCATGACGGGAAAATGGGGGACATATACTCGCTGTTGTGACAAAAGCAATGACATCAACGGCACAAGTTTTCAAGTCGTATTATGTGCTTATTATGTATTCAGTTACATACAAACTTGTGTGTCATGCTGACGAGACTAGAAAGTTCATAGTTTGCATTTGGATTGTTAACTTGGGACACTAGCTTCGACAGAAGATCATTCGCCAAAAACAGAAATATGAAAACAATCCAGAAACAGGATTCGTGAAAAATAAACTTATACAATACAGGATCCACATAGAAGTTCTTAATCCCTAAATAATAAAACAACTGAACACGCATTTTCATAAAGAAATCGAAAGTAACCGTTTTTATCGCAAATCACTGAAATTAGGGGATTGGCGTTTACGGTCATGCAATTACCAAATCTGATAGTCCAAACAAAGTACTACTACATCTAATACAATTACAATTTGACGTTTAAGAAGAAGTCGAAATGATAGTTCTTTTTGTTAGTAAATTAGAGAATAAATGTGTTACACATAATTGGTAACACTTCGATCAATATTTAATATATATTATTTTTATGAATAATATTATATAATTTCTTTCATTATTATGCTTTTTTTCTGCGTTTGGCATCTGGGACCGACATCCGATCTATAGTGATCGAAAAAGGTAAGATATTTTTTTACTCCCGCGTGTGAAGCACACAATGCAGTTATTGTGTCTGTATGTATGTATGTGTGTGAGCGCATGATGATTAGCTAATTTTTAGCTGTTCCACTGATATTTAAAGAACACATTGGCTTTTGATGAAACTAGGTATATAGATGCTCTGGACTAATGCACAAATTTGATTAGTTTTAGATAAATATCCATGTAAACACATTACCTCATTTGCATAATGATTAGTAAATTTTCGGATTTCCATGGATACCTCTAGTACGGATCATTGGATTTTGATAAAACTTGGTACATAGATGCTCTAGGACAATGCAAAGACCCGATTAGTTTTAGTTTAAAATCTGTGCTTATTAATTACCAAATTTGCATAATAATTCATATTTCATTTCTAATCACGTCTCAGTAAAACTTGGTACATACAGGGTATGTGACATTACACAGACCTTACTAATCGAAATCTGTGCATATTAATTACCTAATTTGCATCATAATTTGTCAGTTTTTAGCTTTTTCATTAATATCTAAAGTACATATACACTCTAAGACAATTTGACGATCTAATTAGTTTTGGAATTATTTACACCCATAATTATTACCTAATTTGCATAATAATTTGTTTTATAGCTTTCAACATTTTTTAAAAATTGATCATCACATTATAATAGTATGTGTCTTGGAGCAATACACAGACCTAAATCTATGCATAATAATTAGCAAAATATTTCATATAGTTCATTGCGGTAATTGCATTTTAATTATTATTAGCCCATTTCTGATATCTCAAAAATCAGATTTAAATTGAATTTGTGGTAGAGGTGCTCTAAAATTAATTAAAATCAAATATTAAATAAAAAATATTATCAAACAATCACATTGTTTTCATGTTTACATCTCAAATAGCAGAAAAAGCTTCTCGTTTGAAAAGCTAATCTTAAATATTGAATTACTTTTAATGTATCTCCAAAAACGCTGAGCACCCGAGAGTTTTGTCTAAGCTTTTTGTTGATATTGCTTTATTTGTAAGTTTAACATATATTGTTAGTTTTATTTCAATTTTTTCAATTTTTTTTTATTTTGGCACTGGTTTCATTATTTGATTTGTAGAAGTCACGAAACAGATTGGTAAAGGTAATATGACTTTTATTAAAGCACTATACAAAATAAACTCGTCGATTTTAAATTGACCACAGTCACTCTACTAGGAGAGTGACTGTGAATTGACGTAAAAACAGGCACACATTTCTATTTCCTCATAACAATGTGTTTTATTCAGTATATGGAGTCGGTGTTAATCTTCAACTCTACACTAGAGACAATGTCGAGGGCACATGGTCTGGTCCAGCACCGCTCAGTTGCTGTGTGATTTCCATGACTGTTCTGCAGGATGGCACTATCGTAGGCGTGGGCGCAAATCTGATGTTGTACACCAAGGCAACTATAGATGCACCTTGGGTGGGCCCTGTAGGGTACAGTGGTTTCGTGTTGGACGTAACGCAAATGCCTGATGGTACGCTCGTTGGTGTTGGTCTCAACCTCCTATTATATACTCGTCCGGGTGTCGAGGGTGTATGGTCTGGCCCCGTTCCGTACAGTGGATTCGTGAAATCCATATCCGTGCTGCCGGATGGAGGTTTATTAGGTGTTGGTTTGGGTGGTCATTTATGGAGTAGACCTGGCATCCAGGGAGTATGGACAAACGTCGATTATAATGGTATTGTGTCTGAGGTATCTGTGAGCAAAGGCGGGGAAGTCATTGGTGTTGGAATTACATGTGGTCTGTGGGAAAGAGAAACGTACACATCATATTGGAAAGGTGAAGTTGCTAACAGCCGTTGTATGATTTCTGTATCGTTTGAAGAATAATTACGGTTAGTGCATTATGCATTATATATTCACTGTTACAATAGTAAATCGCTATGGTTACAGAATTGTCACGTTTATTTTGGATTATATCATTATGTTGTAGGGGACTGTCATTTAACTGACCCACGGTCTCTTTGAATGGCTGAAATAAATAATTTATTAGTGTATCTTTCCGTTCATTTTTCTTAAAGATGACATTGCAATAACGACAGTCTCTGTACTAAACATTTTCTAAGATGACATTGACGACAGTCTCTGTACTAAACATTTTCTAAGATGACATTGACGACAGACTCTGTACTAAACATTTTCTAAGATGACATTGACGACAGACTCTGTACTAAACATTTTCTAAGATGACATTGACGACAGACTCTGTACTAAACATTTTCTAAGATGACATTGACGACAGACTCTGTACTAAACATTTTCTAAGATGACATTGACGACAGACTCTGTACTAAACATTTTCTAAGATGACATTGACGACAGACTCTGTACTAAACATTTTCTAAGATGACATTGACGACAGACTCTGTACTAAACATTTTCTAACTTAATAAAAAAAAACCTCCCGAGTTACTGTTTCGATTTGGAATTTGCAATACATAACTCAACTCGCATAATTTATAACCACATATCTTTTTATTTAGGAGTGCTACCAAAACAGTGACTGATTGATGATCACGAAACTGCAGAGATTATATCGATACCACTGTCTTAGTTATTACGAAATAAATCTGAAGATGCAGTCATACACTTATGATGATCTACTAACCGTTATAATTATAGTTATGAATAACAACCATTTCCGTAGTTGAATATGCAAGGAACACATAATAAAGTACATAGAGCATCATTTATGTGTGAAAAAATCTGTTTTAATATTATATAATGAAGATCTATATACCTGTATATACCCATCTATAAAAGTAAATGACACGAATGCGAGTTATGTTTACAGATAGTTAAAGGGCGGTGGTCGTCGCGCTGCGCATGTGCTATATTTGTGTTGTGTTTTTCCACAATTCAATGCGCTCTTCTAATGGAAATCACAAGTATGAGGTTTGACCGTGGCACAAATTACCGCCATTCACTCCTTCAATACCTTTCAATCACCTACAAAATACCCAATTAAAGCTTGGTAACGTCTCAATTTGTACTCGTTGATCTGTGCAACAGTCAAAGTCGCCATCTTTGTTTATACCCATACATCTCGCGCATGCGTGGCGCGACGACTACCGCCCTTTAAATTACGGCTACGAAGAGGCTAACGTGAAGTATTACTACTTGTTATGGCGCGTTGCTATTCTCAGTGATCTTACCTTCAATAGAGAACAGTTTTCCTTTACTAGAAACGTACTCTTAGTCCCAATCAGTGCTTCTTTTTTTTATAGAAGGACAATGACCTGTATAAATCGCAACTGATTCATGCACATTTCATAACGGCCATGCATTGACACAGCTCGTCTGTCTAAATAATCGTTGGTTCGAATTCAGGATGTTATTGAAAAAATAAATAGTAATGGGAACATTGTGCTTAGCAGTCATACTAGGGCGGCGAACCAACCTTACTAAGCGGTCCGGGGCGTGCTCCACCTTAACCATCTTAAAATTTAGACTCTCCGAAACGCTATTTCCTGCATTTTGAGGGGGAAATTGTGCTGACACAAAGGGTTTCAGCTTTATTTTGAAGGGGCGACACCCCCAACATTTGTTTTCGGAAAACGCCACCACTGCCCCCTCCCTGTGCCGCCGCCACTGTTCTATATTGGCTTATTTCATGCAGTACTATTTGAATTTATTTCTCTAGTGTAATCAACACATCTACATGTACGTTCGGGGTATCACTTCACCTTTCGCAACAGACACAATCAAAACACGATACCCAAGATTCAGAGAAGACTCACTCAGCTTCAGAAATTGATATCCCGTAGAATGAAGTTGTCAATGAGTGGGCGGAGTGTGGTAAAGTATAGAGGGCAATATCGAGAATATCAAACAAATAGACCATTTTCCGTTCACTGCGAGAATCACGCGTTATGCGTGAAATCGAACGTAAAAACAGGACAAACAAAGGTCATAGCGTCGTAGTGGCGTCAAACATCGCGTGGGATTCGACAAACGCGAAAGTATTTCGGGGGCATTTCCATGCTTAATAATGTGCTGTCCACATTTGATGATAGGCAATTTCGATTAAGTAAGGGTATTCGGAAGCAATATTCCTCTGTCGAAGATCGGCCGGTCGATGTGAGCTACGAAATAAAGAAATTCGAGTTCAAAATCAAATC